CATAGGAAAGGCTGTCCATTCGTCGCAGTCGTTGCAGGACTTGATGAGTGCCACCTGTTTTCACGCCGATTCAGACTCTAAGGCGGGAATAATGCGATCGGTGGGCGTTCGGGCCAACAAACTGGTCCAAAGTCGGCACAACTCGATCACCTCCTCATCTCAGTTGCCGTTCTTAAACAACAATAACATAAATCTAGACAATTGTAGTGATGTGTCGTCAGTGGACACGAGAACTAGCAGTCAATTGCAAACACAGAACTCATTGAAAGGCGTCCGCAATAAAGGCCTTAAAGGGAACTCCACTCAACACTCGACGGCCACCTCATCGCCGATTAGTGGCACCGGCAGTGCCTGTGGCAAGACGGGGGCCGCCAGCGGGTCGTGTAGTGTTCGCAGTGATGATGAGTCGGGTGTTTGTGAGCCAACAACCAATTCTAGTCACACTTTTCACGAGTGTTTCGCCACTCAATCCGTTGTTAACCATAATATGGAAACTTCATGTGATAAATACTGTACTCCCCTCTGCAATAGAGCCCCTGTACTCCCCTGTGCGCCGGCAGTCGATCCACAACAGCCCCAATACATCGAAATGCGAGATTTGAGACAAAAAGCCCATATCGTTGAGTACACGTCCAGTGACTCAAAGAACTCTAGTGTCGACTCGTTTATGAATTTGAATCTAAAAGCCGTCAACTCTAAGGACGGCATCAAAACAGGTGTCGCCGAACGGGTCGTCAATAATAGCTGTGATTACGAGCCAAAGGACGGCATGGCGTCCGAAGACAACAAATTGAATCCATATGCAGGTCAGTGTCTGAATGCAAACCAGTGTTTTCGATGTTGTATTAACTGCTCGTTGTTATCCCCTATACTAACACTACATTTAAAAATACTAACACCTGTTAGGCTTAGATGCGGTCAAACCATACGAACCGTCAAACCATTCGCTTATCAATAATCAAGACTCAGGTATATAATGATAAATAACTCATATGTAGTGTTAGTGTAACTCAATCGACACCTTTTGTTATGCAATTGATTGACGCTTAGGTCAAATTTTTTGGCTTTTAGATCTGTCTCAAGCCAATCATAATAATAATAACCAGAACTACTCGTCCCTCACCGGCAAAGACCAGACCAACAGGTATGTCGCACTCCCTGCGCCCTCAGTCCGCCCCCACATCACTCCTAATGACACCCATTCTCTCTCCCAAATCTGCAACGATTTGCTCAGAAATGCGAATAACTTTAAGAAGAAGAAAGCTAAAGACGTGCCGACGAAGTTGGCTCAAGATATCGAGGGTTACATCGGTTTCATCGAAGACGTAAACTATTTGGAGGCATTGATTAACTCGTCGGGGATTCCGCCGACAAATCCCGAGTCCTTAAAAGCTGGCGCCGAAGCGAACGCCAACTCTAACGCCAAAAAGAAAGAGAAAAGCATTCAAATGATGACAAACAGCGTCTCGAAGAGAAAGAACGGCTCGAATGGGACACCGAATCAAAGTGCGGCCCAACACAAGAGTAGTGTTTCGCCAAACATTCCCCTCTCGACCTCCTCGTCCTCCTTCAGCAGCGATGAGGCCAACAGTGTTAGCAAACACTCTGACTTTGCTCAACGAACTGATTCCTTAACGCGTGAAACCACTAGTCCTCTAAACTCTAGTACCGAATCGAAAGACAAGACACCTCTGAATGGCGACGACTTAGAAGACGACAACTTGGAAGAGGAGAAGCTCTCGATGTCGGCACTGAACTCGTCGTTCTCACTGATCGGCTCCAACGTGAGCGCAGACCTACTTTACACGGCGTCTGACTCTGAGGCGGCCGACCGCGAGAAGGGATTCATCACTCCTAAGAGCAAACACTTTAAACGACGCAAAGGTGTGATGAGACGACTCGATAATCAGATGAACAATAAGTCTCGTTCGATGCAGTCGTCCACTTCAACGACTCCCCCGTCGTCTACCATATCGGGCGCCGGTATGAGAGGTTACGAGAGTGAAAGAGAGTACATGTGTTCCGATGACTACCGGCGCCGTCAGAATAGTTCGGTGTGCAGTCGCCGTAAGTCATTGTCATCAGTGCCTCATTCCGAACACAACTCAGCCTACAATTCGGACGGAGAGCTCTCCTCTCATTCGATGCCCGTCCGCAACGACTCACTCAACACAGAGAAGAGCACTTCCGACTCCCGAACCACTCCTTCGTCGATATCGTCGACACCTAAGGCCTCGTACGCCGACATCGCGAAGACTCCCAATTTTGGCATCTCATCGATGGGTGGCTTATCAGCCCATAAGAGGTCTTCTATGGACGCAAACTATATGACGAACGCAATGATTAATCCGCTTTCAGTGCAATACCAAGACTTTCCCCAATTAGACGTCTCTCTGCCACCAGTGGTTGACGTGTCGACCCCCACCTCCTCCCCCAACAGTAACTCCAAAATCATCGAAGCGTTAGTCTCGCCGCCGCAGAAATCTCTATCCGAGCGGCGAACCAGTGATTCATGTAGTGCTCCCACTTCGATGACCAATACTCCCGTTCCCCACACCGATGCCCCCATTGAGTGCCTTTTTAGTGAGACTCTGAGGAACAGTAATACCGATGTGACAACTATTCAACCGACAGACGATGCAGTAGTTCCTGCTGTCATTATGTGCGACTATTCCGAGTCCGTTCCCACCAGTGATATCGGATCCGTTACTTTCGGCTTCTTTGATGACGACTTGAGTGCCAATTCTGGATCACAAGACTCTAATCAAACCCAAACTCAAATACTTAATGAAACACAAAAAACACCAGAATTTAAGGTTTCATTTCTGTTTATTTATTTATTTACAAAACTTTCATTTGTTTTGTTCGTTTGATTTGAGAATAAAAGCGTTTGCTTTGATTTGTAGGCCAAGAGTCCGATCAAAACTAGTCCCGAAGCGATAAGTCATGCGAATAGCCGTAAAATAGTTGAGGTGAGCGGTGAGGTTGAGCTCACATACATCGATGTCGATAAAAAGAGCTTCAATTACGAGCATATAATCGGCTTCATTAAAAAGGGTCAGTAGTTCTCTCTCTCTCTCTCTCTCTCTCTCTCTCTCTCTCTCGAATTTTCATAAATCGTACACATGTTTGAGTTTCGCTAATAATTAATTACAAATTATGTTTATTTTGTTTGCGTCGATAGCGTGGGATAACGCGAAACGCGATTATCAATACCAGAGCTACGAGTCGAGCCCTGCAGTCAAATAAACAAAGTTTGTGCCACTTTTTGACTCACAAATTGAATGGATTTTCGTTTTGTTGTTTCTTTTTGTAAATCAAATCTCTAACTGAGAGGACGTTTTGATAAATACTGAAAATATTGCATTCATTTCATTGCCGATTAAATCAAGATTTCTTTTTATTGAACACAAAAATCTCATCCACTCTTCGACTATAAGATACGATATGACAGGATATCCGACACGAAGACAACACTTACACTTAAATAACACTTTTTTCTCTGCATTTTGAAGATTATGTTGTGAATCAAAGAATTGGTTTTTTAAAAGATGAGAAGAAATTTATTTGAAAACTACACTTAAGTGTCCTTTAATTTACTTGAAATCGAGTGCATCGACGACTCATCTCTCACTTTCACACCGAAAACAATTGTTTTGTTTTGTTTTTATTATTATTTCAATTCGTATTACTATTTGTTATTTTTTGGTCTCACTTCTAGTGATGACATACTAATCGATACTTCTTTTAAATATAGATTTATAAGCTATTTATCAAAATAATTGATTTGCGATTTTGTTTTTGTTCAAAATCACACGATTTGTGGTGAAAACGTGTAGAAAAAACTTAATTATTATTAATAAGTAAAAGTGTTCTCAAGATTAATGTGAAATTCATAATATAATTGACTTTTTGTATGATTACTGTGTAAACGATTTTCAATAATAATAATAATGTAATAATAAACGGAGCGCCGGCTGTTAGACACCGGTTGCCGTATCCGCCGCCGAAGACTCATTTTATGGACGCAGTTATTGATTGAATATAAAAAAGACAATATTTTTGTTAATTTTGACGTTTATATTGAATTGTTTTAACTTATGATATATTATGAAGACTTATGAGATGAAGAACTAATCGATTAATTATTAGAAAAATATTTGAAATTTTTATTCATTTATGAGATGTAAGGACACGACAAAAATAATGAATAACTAAAGCCAACAGTGGATTGTTTTTAATGAATTTTGTTTTCCTGAATTTGCGTATTTTTTGTGAGAGGATTTTATATCCATTTATAATATTTTGTTGTTTTACTATGATTTCAAAACAAATATTTCTAAAAAGTATTGTTTTTATATAAATATATTAAATAATAGTAGAGATGCAGTACAGTAATGAATAACTCTTTTTTGGTTTTAAATTTATGAAACCTTTTATTTTCATGAATTTGAATCCATTATCTGTTTATTTGAAGAGATTTATGAAAAAAAAGTTTAATTATATTTCATTTTTTGAACACAATTGAGGTCTGAAAACATTGATTAAGTGATGAGATGTTTGTGAAACTCATAAAACTGTTAGAAATGATGGACAAACCGATAGGACTGCCAACGATTCTCAAGATGTAACCAATGATTAAAACACCGATTGATATGAAAAGAAACACAACTTTTAGCGATTGAAACAGTAATCCATTTGTCACTGATTATAGCCAGTAATTAATGATTGTTAACATATTTAAAGATTTTTTAATTGAGTACTTGTTATACTATAATACTGTAAATTGTTTGACTGTTTTGTTCGCGGATTATACGATATTTTGTTTGGCTATTGAGTGTCAAATGGATTATATGTATGAACAGCTGTATTCCCCCAGAATTGAGATGTTTTTAATCGTATTGTAATAAGAATTTTAAAAATAAAGACATATGTGACAAGAATTGTACGACAAATATAACATCTTATGGACAATAAAAGCGATGAAATGTCATTTGAATTGTGTTTTATTTCATTTTTGTTTAGATTTAGATTTAATTTTGAATTAAAAAAGAGTGAATTCTAAGCATTCATTTTAAATAGGATTTAATGTTTTAAATTGAGAATTGTTTGAAACTTTAGATGAATTGCTTGAGAATTAGATGAAATCACCGGATAATGTGTTGACATCGGAGTCGTCGACACTCGAGACATCACTCTTGAATCCCAGAGCGTCTGTAGCATCCATTTCGGTCATACAATCACTGCATTCGCACTCAAAGTGGTAGCGCTTTCTTAGGAACTCTTGTCTCTCGTTGAAACCCATGGCCTGACTGTAGGCTCCGTAACAAATCGATAGTTCCTCGTCGGCATCGATATCACGACTGGTGGCGACTGTGATATGCTGTCCGCTGAAGACCCAAAAACAATTTGAAGAACAGCTGTGGTTGAAGAGGGACGACATAAAACATATAGCGTTTCCGATGTGATCTCCTCTGAAGGCCAGTGATTCACATCTCTTCTCATACATTGCGAACGCATTCACACATACCTTATAGTAATGTGAATCCAAGACAACCGACAAATCTTTTAGAAAGTCTTCGCTTTCCTCTGAAGAACCATTGAATTCGACAAAAGACTCCAAAATGAGTGCCATTTGAAGTGAGCGTTGAGTTGTAAGCACTTTATGCTTGAGATCGTAGCCGTGTTTGTGGCCATGGAGTTGAAGAAACTTCAAATATGCGATACTTTTCTCATCCATCTCTTCAAACACTTCCGCTTGACTTTTGTATTGTTTCTCTAAAGCGATGGCCGATTGCGGACCTATTAGTAGAAGAATGCGATACAGAATGTGATGATTACCGCCGAACTGTGCGATGATATCAGTTATGCCACACTCGTAGCGATGATAATATGCATTCTTATAGCACTTCTCATCGCAGAAGACCACTTGTGAGCACTGAATACACGGCCAGTATTTATAGCCAATATTCTTGAAGCAATTCTGACAGTGAGTCCTAAAGTATTGCGGAAATAAAGCTCCAGAAATCACTCTCTCGACCATAACTATAGTCTTTTTGGTGAGCGATTCACTTGTCTTATAGTGTCTGCCCTTGTCTTCAGTTTCGTAGACCTCGAGGTTTGGACTCATATATGTGTCGATACATTGACTCAAAATGAAATTCAATTCATAATCACTTTGAATAGTTTTGGCGTTTGTTTTATCACTTTTACAATCACTTAAAGTGTCTCTCAGTTTGATGAGACTCTTAACCAATTTGTTGTGAACGGGAAGACACGGAACCAATTGAATGATAGCTTCGCAACACTTGATGGCATCGATGGGTCTTTCCATTTGCCACAAACAAATCACTTTATGTCTCATGAGTTCCACTCTTTGATTGAATGTCAACGAAGAGACTGAGAGCTGAAGAGCGCACTCAATGTCATGCAATGAATCAGAATATTCCTCCAAAGCATAGAATGTGAGCGAACGGCAGGTGTAGGCAAAACACAACTCGTTATTAGATTCTGGATTACAAGTGGACGGGTAGGGCGCCCACATGACAGCCTATAGTGAGTTCATAAATGGCATATTAATTGATATTAAATAAGCAAATAATAGGTCCAATAGTTACCAAATTATAGCAATAAATGGCACATTCGAAGGCATGTCTTTGGAAGTGTATATTACCATTGATCCGATGGCTCAGAGATTTGACCACAGATTTGGTGTTTAAGTTCTTGTGGTTTGCAATGAATTGTCGCACTTTTGCACTCAATTCATGAACAGAATCAATATGATTGTCAAATAAATATTGAATTCTTTGTTCACTGCTTTCTAGTGAATCAAATTCTTTATTTATGAGATCATTGCATACATTGATGATCTGATCCATGGGTTTTAATGAATAAAATAATTTGACTATTATTTGAATAATAAATATTGAATTCTTTGTTCACTGCTTTCTAGTGAATCAAATTCTTTATTTATGAGATCATTGCATACATTGATGATCTGATCCATGGGTTTTAATGAATAAAATAATTTGACTATTATTTGAATTAATTTTTTGTGTTTTAGAAATTCATGCAAACAATTAAATAAAATTACATACAATTTATAATAGAGTGAAATATTTGATCATTTTTATAGAGTATAGCAATTCGCGAGCAATTAATTGTTAGCTATGTATTGATCGTTAGTTTGAATTAAAGTTATTTTATAGTCAGTGGTATTAACGGAATATTCGTTTAAATCGTAAGAATCCTATCAAAAAGTCTGATATCTGTACCAATCCTTTCATCGGATCCAATCGAGTGTTGCCTTCGAGTCCTTTCACCCACTCGTCGCTGAAAGAGCCGACAGAACCGGAAACAGAACTGCAACTCATTCTGAGTGCCTCCGAAAGCGTGAAAAACCAGAAACAGACCACAACTCAGAAGTCGGACAAACAGTCGGCCGAAGTGTTGGCCACTCGCGAGACCCAGAGTCACACCTCTCAGGCGTCCAAAGGCGACGAGACTTGCGATTCAATGCTTCGGGAAGTGTTGGGCAAACCAAACGACTTCAACAAACCGTTGAATTTGGATGATATGGACCTTAAGAAAGACAAGACCGCCGCCGACGGCAAGAAAAATGAGACCAAAGAGGAGTCCAAAGAAAAAACCTCTTCCAAAGACTCCTCCAAAGATTAATTTTAAATAAATTTTTATTCACATTTTCATGTAGTTTTCATTATTTAATACAATTAAAAGTATTCTCATTATAAATCAACAAAAAATAGGAAATAAATATTATTTA